AGGCCCGGAGTAGCCCGGAGCGGGCTGGTGGCTGTAGTGCAGCAGCGGCATCCCAGCAGGAGGCACAGGTGGACACGGGGCTTCTCAGCGCCCTCTTTGTCCAAAGCGGGCGCCTCAGTCTTTGGCAGTCGTTGTTGTAAGTGTTGTCGTGTAAATCTTACAGTGTTATAATAGCTAACTCCATTATTGCCTGTCAGTGGAGTTACTTACTGTTGGCATAACGCCGTTAGTACTTGCTAATGGCGTTTATTATAATTATCCCTGGGAGGACACGGCTGAGACAAGGGCTTCTGCTCGACAGGGGACCAGCAGGCATCGAGCCTTTCAGATTTGTTACTAAGAGGCCTCAGTGTTAAGCAGTCCAGTTAGCTGGCAAAGCGCTGTGTATGGTGCTGTCTACACAGCACAGTGAGGCTGGACAACTGAAAAAATCATCTCGGTGTTTCACTTCTCAGCAGTGGCTAGTTTTAGCTAGTTTGGAAATAAACAGCTTTACTCTGTTCCTCATTCTTTTCTGCCTTTTTTTTGTTTTGCCTTCTGCAGATGTTCTCATGATGTGGAAAGCTGTGGAGTCATTGCGTTGTGCCAGAATCTTAATCCAGTCTGCACCTATGGCTGTGGTAAGAAGTTGCTGGAAGCTCTCCGTTTGGGCAGATTTGCTTTGCAGAGCTGTGCTCCTCTATCCCAAGATGTTGACAGGGTCAATTTTCCGCACCTTTTAGGAGCGTAGTTTATTGGTATCGGTCAATACTAACGCTACTTCTGTTTAGGTCTAAAGGTAGGCAAATTATAAGGGTGTGGGGTCACTGCATGCCATGGACTTACTTTAAACAAACAAGAGAAATGGGACTTGCCTAGGCCAACTGTACTTTGAACTGACTGTAAACATAAGGAGCAAAATTCACTTTCCATTTCTGGATATCTGCAAGTGCTTCTTCAGTTTAACAAACATAGATTTTGATTCAGTTGTCTCTGTCTTTTTTCCCCTATCTCATGTTCTATGGCTCTAAGTTATTTTTCTTTTTGGTTATGGCAGAAATTTACTTTTTTCCATGTTATGATGTACAAGACATCACATAACCATAACCATGCCACAGAAGGAAGAGTGAAATCAGTTTATTCCTCCGAATCTCACTAGTGAACTGCTGGCAAGAACAAAACTACAAGCAGGATTTCCCATCATTAGTAGTTGAGGATCTGAACTATAGTGGTCCAGAAAGCATGCCTTATGTGTCAACACAAATAACTTCCCACTACCAGGCAGCGTGGAAAACCATTTTTCTTTCATTAGCGTATAGGAACATGCTACTTTTTAATGACTTTATCGCCAGCACTGCCAAATTTAAGGCCTTCTGGAGCAAACCAACATAACAATCAGCTTTTGAAGAAATGGTAGAATCAAGAGCATGCACAAATTTTTACTCATCAATTACAATACAAATAAAAACAGCCTTGTTCTTTTTTGCCTAATCCATACGAGATGTATTTACCTTCCTGGTGGTGGTAACCTGCTGTAGGCTTCACATCTCCAAAATAGTAAATTATTAGTAAGCAGGTAGAAAAGTGTTACATATAATCTGTGTAAAGGCTGTAATCCAAGGACAGATTCTGGCTATCACCCCTCCTTTTTTACATTAAATTATAGCTTGGCTTCGTGAACTTGAAATCATTGAGCTGGCCAGGCCCATGCAGTAAGGGACTAATTCGAGCGTGGAGCAGTGGAAAATGTGGCCTCCTGCCAGCATATCTCAATTTTTTGAACAAGGGTGATATCTTCATAGAAGCTGTATGGACGTTGCTGTTGTGCATAGGAAACTGAATTAGACCACAACTGTAGCACAAAGTTTAGCAGCCTGTTCCTGACAGTGACCAACATCAGAAGCTTCAGAAAAAGGGGTAAAAAAGAAAGAGCCATTATAAAATTGCATGTGTGTATTGTGAAATCCATTGTTAGGTGCCCTTCAACAGCAATTTACTGTTACCATTAACAGTTGCTCTGATTAAATGGGAAAAATAATACTCATGCTTATGTAAACTTAGCCTTTCATCCCTCAGACCAAGAGGTCTGTGCAATTTACACTGACCTGCAAGCTTCTGCAGTGGCTGGAACTAGTCACTAGAGGGAGAGGTACTGTTATGCATAGCTAGAAAGGATAATTTTTGTCTTGGGTATAAGAAATACCTCAGCTGTTTAAAACTGCTCTAACAATAAAATGAAAATAAAGCATAGACCAGGAGTTTGCTAATTCCACCAAAATGTTTAATACCATAATAGATTTTCACCGAAATACAGAGCTAATGTGAATATTTGTACAAAATATATGGTTAAAAATAGTATTGATTTATAATATATACAGATATGTCACATCTGTGTCAGAAATGCAGACACTTGAATGAGAACATGATTAATGTTTTCAAACCTACAACAACATACATGAAATATTTCTGCAGCTACCCACAGTAGGACAACTTGCCAAATCAACATTTAAGGATCCATCAGTCATTACAGATGATCATACTCCTTTCAAGTTTCTGAACAAGAACTCTGCTCTAAAATGGATTAAAAACATTTACTTTCATTAACTGAACAGTGACAAGAACACCTCTTTGTGGCACTGATATAGACACAAGTTTCTGGTACTAGATTAATGATCAGTTACAAGGATTTATTAAAACAAAGCTGATTTTCTCGTGTATAATAACAGAGAAGTTTAATCCTTCTTGCTGGATACGCTTACTGTGATGGGTGAGGAAGCCCCTGACTCAGGGACAGCAAATGGGCCCTTCTTTATATAGCTATCAATTACATGGGTTTAAATCCTGAAGTCCGTCTTAAGGTCCTGAACGCCTTCATTTCTCTAGCAAGGATCCCATTGATAAACGTCCCGGATTGTAGACTTGTAGCCACTGCATTGGTACAGTTAAAGAAACCACGGATGACACACACTGTAGCCCCAGAAGCTCTGTGTAGCAGCTGAACAGGTTGATAAAGCAATTACAAAAAGAGAGAGATGAGTTAAGGCTTTTTACAAATGCTTTTCAAGCATCTCTGCAGTAAAGGCATTAGGAGTTCTCGCCTTTCCATTGGGAGTACTGTTGCTGTTCTACCTGTGACAGTGCAAGCCAAATGCAAATGCAGCGGCTAATCTGCACACACTTCAAATAGGCATGTGGGAAACAGCTTTTACACCACTTCCTCCCTTGCACTTCTACCGTGAATGCAGCAGTCTAAATGTATTTAAAAGCAAAAACTTCTCTCCTTTTAAGAGGAATCCCAAATATTTGAAAGCTGCTGTACTTCCCCTAGGAAACATGCTAAAACACATCAAAAATTTTTTTTCTTGATAACGTGACTCAAGAGTATCACATGAGGATGAATTTAAGCCAGGGTCTGTCTGGAACTTTAATCCATACCCAGTTTTGTTTTTTGGTGAAAGAGAACTAAATGGGATTTCCTAGGTAGAAAGGAAACAATAAAATGCAAAGGTCTTAAATTCACACTAATGTGTGTAAAAAAGCTGCAAGTGGATAAATGCTTTGAGGTGAAAGATTTCCATTTTTGAAGAAGGAACAGAAATGAATTCAGTAAAAACTCTTTAAAGGAGGCAATCTAAAAGCGCTGCCACTTTAACCAAATTTATCCATCCATAATAACTTACTCGAATCCCTTCATCCATGAAGAGCTTGTTCCAGGTCCCCAGATCCCTGACAGATATGGCCTTCACTTCAAGCAAGTTATTCCAGTAAGTCTGTCAGTAATACTACCAAACTGACTACAGATTTTGTCATCAGGCAATAGAATTGTGAGATGTTGAATCCCTTTCAAAAAGCTGGGCCTATCAGCTGGAAGTGATTTGATGTTAAGTACAGTCCCCGTTACAGAACTGTGGTCTGCCCTGGTCTTTTCAACTGTCGTTCCTACTGTCTCTCTTGCTTTGACTATTTTGCTTCAGGACAAAAACGGAGGCTGTGCAAGAAACAGTAATAGCAATGTGATCAGTAATGAAGTACACAGAACTTCAGCCAGGACTGTCAGTAATCAAGGCGTAAGCCATGAGTGTCAAGCCCCTGCTACAGACAAGAGAAATAGCATTAACTCCTGTTATTTGATACCATGCAGGGTTAGATTGCACATTATCACTTGCATGCACAAATTCCCAGTATAAATAGATGCTGCCTATCTGCGTGTACAAATTAAGTGCTCACTGGAGCTGTATGTATACAGACATGCATGTCCGCAAGCAAAGACCAGTTTGAAATCCTTTTGGACATGCAGCACCCTACTGTTCACATGTGAAGCCTTGAAGCTTATTCCCAGCTGTTGTATCCAATGCTCAACAAGATGGAAAAGCCAAACAGCAGGTAAATAATACAACATTTCAGTCAGATCAGATTGTGGTAGTTGGGGAAAGCTCATTTGGAAAAGAGCTCTCCTCAGCAGTAAACAGACTAACAGTAAAGAATAATCAGGCTTTCTGCAGCACACTTGGCCACTAGATTCCAAAGTACTCTGTAAAAAGATGCCTGCTAATACTTGTTTCTAATCAAAACCAGGAGGGTAGGGCTCGTCTTTTTAAAAGGAATCGGTGAGTTGAAAGCTTACATTTTTGAATGAAACTTTTAAAAAGAGATGTAATTTTCAGATTCGTGAATAATCATCCTTTGAGAAACAGGTCTTTTAGCTGGGCACCCAGAAAAAAAAGCACTTTTCAAAATGCATATCTGAGTGACTGGCATAAGATCAAACATAAGAATTTCTTGATGCAGTTACTTAGCAGGCCCTTATCTCCTGGTTTCCAGTCCTTTGGAATATCCAGTAATAACTGACAGAAGAGACTACAGTGACTCCTATTAATAAATAATTAGTGCTAATGTAACTTTTTCCTCAGTTTCTGCATTAGCTGGATGTCACGTTACTGATTTAAATACACCCATTATGTTTACCCATTATTACAAAAGTACAGGGAGAACCACTTCAGCTGGCAGGGATATATTTTTGCTCACCTGGGATGGTGCAATATATACTTTTTTTTTGGCATACACCTAGCCAAATCCACAGTGAACCAGTGCAAGTCCACATGACCCAGTGGAACTGCAGGAGCTTAAAACGGAATCTGGCATATCTTGCAAACCAGAAGGCTTTTTTGTTTGTTTTTTCTCTAATTTCTTAACTTATATTGAAACGAGTTTGGCCTACGTCATGCATTTAAGCAGTTTCAGTTCTATTAGTTAAGAGAGCAGTGGTGTATATCCTACTAGTCAGTTTATTAACACAGTTTCAATGTTGCTTTTCAAAATGCCAACGCAAACAGAACACAAAAATTATTGTTTGCCGTATTTATTCTTAAAACTAAGCTCTGAATTATACAAGTGCAAAAGTGATCAACTAGCATAATACTCCTATAAAATATGACTAAATAGAATATTTCAAAAGTATGTACAATACAATGGAAATGCTAACATATCTTTCACAGTGCTCAGCCATGCCACTGTAATCAAGTCTTGCAAAAGACAGTCAGTTCAGTCAGTTCTATCATCCCATACAGAGAACAGTCCCTCTTCTTCCAGAAAACTTTTTCACTGTCACTGATGGAGGGGGAAAAAAAAGAAAAAAAAGAGAAAAAATATCCACCCAATTTAGGAGCGAATAAACGTTGAACAAATGGACTATAGTTTAGCCAGAGGGCACATTTTTATAAAATAAAGCACTTAACAATAACCATGTCTGTATTCTTGTTAAGGTTTGCAGGAGGGATGCTCTTGCTATGTTTTCTGGCTGAAAACAAGCTGTATACGAGTGTGTACGTGTGCATGTGGTAGGGGTTGTATTAGCTCGTCTTAATTACAAAAAAAAAAATTATATATATCTCAAGGCCACAGATTCTTCATTCTTCTATTCCAAAAGAGCAGATCCTAAAATGCTCCCTGTTCCCAGCACTGGAAATGTTTTCATGCTTTTAACTGTACGAAGAGAGTCATTAGAATTTACATTTTGTATCTGAAGAGATCAGGAAGGACAAGTAGGGCGGAGGGAAACAGAAACAGCAACTGCCCTGCCCTGCTTTCTTCCTTTAATTCCTAAGCAGCAGCAGGAGCAGCGCACACTCGGCAGAGGGCCCCAGGGCATCGCTGCCAGCCACTTGCACAGTCTCACACTCAGAAAGGACATTAGAAGGACATCATCTACATCACTGTGCATCAGAAGCTCTAATGTAATGAATAAATGTAGATCTTATTTATATTACAAGAGGGAATCTACTTTAGCACTGTAGATACCCCTATGAAAGGGACAGGTCATAGGGACTGACCTTAGAGATGCTACACAAAAGAAAATTCCCAATGAAGTCATTGGCAGCTTTGTTTTGAACAGAACAACAGGATGTGAATTACTGAATTTATAAAGGAATTTTGTTTTCCAGATGGTCAGCATTTTTTGAAAGAAGCCCTTTTTTTTTCCCCCCTAGGCCAAGCAAGAGCCAGCTGCTAGCAAAATACAAGATTAAGACAATGACAAATGTAACTTTTATGATAGGGAAGTTGTTCCATAATACCTGAAATACTTTTCTTTGATGACTTTATTTTACCATACAAGGGCAATTTTTAACCTTTGACCACAGTTACAACAGGTTTCTGAGTTCTCACAACTCAGAAACTGCACTTCTGTGCTTTACACAACGAAGCTGTTCTACCTCCTCCAAGATAGTACTGTATAGTTTTGTAAAGAATCATCTTTGAGGTGGGCCTGTTTTTAAACCTATGTCCATTAACGTGCTTTAAGAAAAGAACATTTAAGATCCAGTGCTTTATTTGCAGTACGGTTTTAAATCAATGGAAGCCAAAGTCTGTAAATCAGTTCAGCACCAAATCTCTCCAAAGTCTGAGTACACAGACACAAGGATGAGATTTAGCCCTCTTAACATTTTTAGACGTAAAAATCCTAATCAGTGAAGATCTCTGATCATTTACCTCACTCGAGGATGTGGCCAAGAATTGGTCTAAAATGAACAGGTGTTAGCATTCAGCTTGTTCTTTTAGAAAAAGACATCACTCCTAAAATATTATAGGTGGCCTATGACTATTTTCAACAGGAATATCACATTTTCGTCCTAGGGTAGTAAGTGACAAATTATTTATTTAAATCAATTCTAAACGCATCATTGAAAACTAATTGAAGTGAAGCCTCTGAGGAGTTATTTTTAAGACAACTTTACTCAAGATATCATGAAGATACTGAAGCCTCAATTTCTTGTTCACTCTCCGTTGTATTTCACATGCTTTTCCGTTAGTGTAACATACACAATGTCCACAATGTATTAAGAATGATCACATTACAGTTATATTCTAAGAAAGGCTCTATATTTCAACAGGAATATTAAGGGACGGTGGTGGTGAGAGAATGAACTACATGACAATGGGCAAGTACTTACTTCTCAGAACGTTCTCACCATGGATGAGAACGGTATCTCCTGACTTCGCTGAAAAAACAACATACCTTTCCTCCTGGAAGTATTGCAGGGCCAATAGAGCAACGAGAGTGACACTGATTCTACTGAAGCTTTGTAGCCATACTGTTAGTTAAGAGCGGAATGGAACCTTCCCTCAGAAACCCGATCTATACGTCTTATGTCATGATCTTGATTACAGAACTTAGAAACTGACTTTTCAGATCCTAGAAGGAGCTTCCAAGATTTTTCTTTTTAAAGTTATTTTAACTTGTAAAGGAATTTAAACCATGGAATCTTCCTGTGCCAGTTGGTTGTCATTTTGGGGGAGTGCAGCTGCAGCTAATTAGCCTGTGCCTAAAAATCCCACTGTATCTTACACATATGCTCAGTTTTCTGCAGTATTAAATTTCAGTGGAACTACTCATGTGCATAAAGTTAAGCGCATGCTTAAGTATATGCAAAATCAGAGCTCAAACGTCTAGAAAATATGTTCTTAAAATGACAAGTACGCATGAAAAAAGTCATGGAGGATCTACCAGACAGGGAATCCAGTATCTGTCTGCTGTCAGCCATGATGAAAACACGGAACACTTTTTGTAACCCAGTATACATAGCAAGTGAAATAAACATGCAGGACAGAGTGAAAAAGGGGATTCAATTTCATGCAGTCTAATTTCAAGTGTGTAATTATGGTCCTGTTGTCTTTGGCCTAAAAAAATAAAAAAAGAGAGGGGGAAAAAGGAGAAGACAAAAAAACAACAGAGAATACCAACCAATCTCCTCACCTCCACAAACCCAAATTGCATACAGCTCCAGAAGGGCTTTAAAGCACAGGAAGTAGGGAGGAAAAAGGACTAATTATTAGGGATGTACAGCTAATTACAAAAAGTTGGTTTCAGGGCTATTCGACACACCACTAGGGAAGCCTTTATCATCAGCAGAACTTGCAGGTACAACAGAGCAATGAATCCCACCGTAAATCAGCAGTCAGCTGGCTTCTCTTTTTCCCCTCAGACTCAGAGAGAAGTACCATTCAAACCTCTATGGAAGGTAAAATGTCAGTCCCTATTGATATTCTGGCTCCCTCCTCCTTAGAGGAGGCTGAAAGGCCTGGGACTTTTCAGCAAGCTACTCCCTCTCCCCTCAGCCCGGAGAGCTCTGTGTCACATCCCTACCACTATTAAGGACCAGGTGTCTCTGCAGCTGTTGGTGGAAGAGGGTGATTTTCTGCTGTTTCTGAAACATGTTGCAAAGATGGTGTCCTTTAAGAAAATTTCAGAAGGATGAAAAAAGGCCACCATGCCAATAGTAGATTAAAAAAAAAAAAAAAAACCCACCCCTCTCCCACCGAAAAGGAAAAGATTGAGGTCTGCTGGGGAACTCAGGAGGGCAGAGAAGCAGGCTCTTTGATGAAGGGCAGCAATGAGTATTCTGTGAGTTTGAATATCAAGCCCGGTATCAGCCTATTTGCCCATCCTGACTGATCTCTCTGGTGGTGGTGTTACAGCATGCAAATTATAGCTGTGAAAAGTCCTCAGACTGACCCCCCCCTTCCTGCTTCAGCCTGTTTTTGTCCTTTCCGGAAAAGCTATTAGTGTAGTTGGTGTGTGATATGATTACATATACAAAGATCTTTTTCCTAGCCCTTTTGTTACACAGGCTTGATTACTGTGAGGGATTTCAATGAGCTAAATGTCCTGGTACTCACAAGGCAATGGCTGCCTTTCAATAAAACAAAGCAAACAAAAAACAAGAGCTGTGTTGGAGGAGAGAAGTGCTTTTTCTGCTGGCGAGGCTCAGTTAGATACAGGAGGTGGCAGACCAGGGCGCCGAGTTTGAATGATTTTTGGCTTTGGAGAATTCTTTGGGTCCTCCTCGTCTTCCATGTCGCTGTCACAGACGTGCACTACCACACTGGGGGTGGACTCTGTTCCTGCATGCAGCTCATATTTCTCTCCTGGAAGCACAGAAAAATAGTTAGCTCAAAGGATGGCAGTCTGAGCAGCAGCACTGTTGGACTGCAAAATACTCGCATCCCTGCCCAGTTGTGGATGTATGCTGCTCCTAAATATGGATGAGGGCAAACATGGCTGGACTACACCAACTGCCACAGCAGATTCTGGGGTTCCTGCCCCGGGGGGCCATTAGTGATCATTGCTCTGCATGGCATAACTAAGGCTAGAATGGATAGTGCACCAGAACGTGGCCCAATGGAAACCAGTCCAAAGTGAAATACAGTGGTGTCTATTATAGTGTTTTGCATTTCTGACGTGATGAATCGGGTCTTTCAGAGGAGAGAGACGTCCATTAGCAGTGCTAAAAAATGCGATAAAAACTGTTCCAGATAACATCCTGCCCCCTTTTGGACCACTTTTGTCATCTCCGAGACACACAAACTGCATGTAAGTTCAAATGGGCTTACAATGACCATATATATACCTGATATATCTTGGGTTTTTTTTCTTAAGATTGCTCTAAAACCAGTGCATATCGCCTGTAAAATATTCTGACACGAGGAAGGTGAGGTGCTAGTATAACTAGCTGAGCTCAAATCCTCCACATATTCGTTGTACAGTAGCTCCAAAAAACTTGCATCACAGGCAGAAGCCAAAAATGCTAGGTGCTGTACAAAGAAAGTGAAACTGCCGTCGCTACCTCAAAGCACTTTGAGTTTGTCATGGTACTAATCTGGATTTTTAATTTCTTCACAACTTTGTGGCAGAGTAACTCATGTTAGGGTTGCAGGTTTGGACCTGCATTAGCACACGTGGTTCTGGGACTGTCATCGCATACTATTTGCACTGATAAGTTCTTGGACCGAGTAAGATTGTGTGGCCTGGGATTAGAGGATGTGCTGCATTTTTGCCTAAAAAATAGGAGGCAACTAGTGAATAATAGCTACGAGTCAGGCATCTTGCTGTGAGAAATATTTTACTGCTGTGATACCATTAATGTTGACATTTAACTGCTCTATTTTTGGCAACCCTTCTTCTGAATCCAAATTGAGCAAAGCATTACAGGTCTTGTTGACAGGCTAAAATATAAAAAGAGAAATAGCTTGGTTGTGCTGCATTGAGAAATTATATGGTTTTTCTGTGCCTGTTTTCCCTGCGGGCTTCAGCTAATTTCTCGGCTATGGGCTGACGTCAATGCTGCCAACCAGCACTGAAGGCTACATTGGTCACTGTCAGCTACAAGGAGCTCTGCAGTGCTCCACACACACAAAAGCTGGGCCCTTTCCCCATGCACCAACACCATGAAGTAAATCAGATTCACTGCCCTCTTAAAAGGTAATAATCCTAGTTCAAATGCCACATTCTTTTACTGTTCAAATCCTTCCCGGAAGGATTCTTTTCGCTGAAAAAGAACAGTAGAAATAAGTACAGACACTAGGAAAAACATTCAAATGCCTCTGGCGCAAGTAACTGCAACAGCAATTAATGTCACTTTGCAAATCAAAATGTGATGCACTCATAAATTGGGTTTTTAAGGCATACAGTTATTTCTGAGCATAAATGAGCTGCAGACTCAATTCTGTACTCACAGTTATTCATGCCTGCAGACCTGTGGCTCAAAATGCAGAAAACCTTGTTATGGCTGAGGTAGGAACAGGACGACAGTAACTAAGGGATTTTTATACAATGGTATCTTGTTCCTAAAGGTAAGGGTTGTTTTATCTTGCAAAAAATACTAAGGTAATAAATACAATGCAAAAATTCAATAGACACAGTGAGATTACCTCTCCCCTCCTGCTCACCATTCCCCACCCTCACCCCCAAGCAATATCCCCCAGCTTTAAAAAAAAAAAAAAAGCTAAATCCACAGCAGTTAAAGTTACTGCAGTAATGATTAATTCACTGCAGTCAAGCTAGTGACAAAACACAGGCTGTCCCAAGCTAAGGGTAGCAAGTCAAGTTAGCAGGATTAAGGCTTACAAGTTTTTGTAGTTAATATCATTCAAAACATTTGTCTGGTTATTTCATTGTCTCATTTGCTCTCCAGCCCATTCTGTGATGCTCTCTTGTCAATTTACACTTGCTGATTATTTATTTTTTTGGCACTAGAAGAGCATTATTTTTCCCAAAGCAAAGTGACTGTAAGATTTAGGAGAAGAAATGGAAGAGTTCTGTCATATAGCTGAAAAGCTCAGCAAAAGTCATCAGCATTGTCCTTACCTCAAGTGGTAGCATTTTTATCACTTAAACAAAACGAGTTCCTGCTCAGAACAGGAAACATAATCTCAGTTTTGGTGTCAGACCAGTTTTTCAGGGTGCTGAGCCCTAACTTGCCCTAAGTATCTGATTCAGATACCCTACATGACGTGTTCAGGAGAGGACACAAAGTTTTCCTTGAGGTCCTCTCCTACATACGTTGCCTGGAATCCTCTCCACCCTTTAAACTCACGAAAACACCATCAAAACGGTGAACGTTTTCCTGGCCATATCGTACACTATCTGGTTCTACAGTCATCTCCTACAATCGCTCACCCATCTCTGATGCTGATGATCACAGACCCTTGGCATTCTCATGCCCTACGTTGCCCCACTACTCCTGCTTTTCCATTTGCCTAGAGAAATTCTTACAGGTTAAGCCAGAGGACTCCCACGGAGGAGTCTCCTTCTCCTTCAGCAGTCTTTGGGCTATCTCCTTCTCAAACCCTTCCTTCTAGGCAGTATAAATTGCCTAGATATTTGTATAAGCTGAGCTAACAAGAGAAACATGCATCAATTTTTTCCAGAAAAATATCACAAAATGTATCAAGTATACTAATATCTAAACTCTACCTTCAGGGAATAATGCAGGGAGAGTTAAGCTGCGTGGTACATCCATTATACTGAGTTGCCAGAAAATGTTCCTAAGAAACCCTTGAAAATAGTAGTGATGTTCCTCTATTTATTCCTTGACGTAAGAAAAAAGAACAGGAATTTAAAGTTTCACCCTTCAACAATGCTCCTGGCCATTTGTATGCACTTTAGCGCTACCTTCTGCGATGACAAACCATAAACAAACCTTCAGCCTCAGGCGATGCAAGGAAGATGACAAGAGGAACAGCACAAGAACAAGAGCAACTTTCAGAATTAAAAATAGTAGCATATAGATTTCTGTCTTTTGTGAACCAGTACAGTGACCTTTCATTGATGGTGCCTGTCTTGTCTGATGAGGCTCTTTCGTCCAGCAAAGAGCATATTCATATACTTAATTAATAATGAAGAAAAGGTAGCGATATTGTGCAGTTACCTCATCCCCGATTGTGAATCATTATCAAAGGTTAATGGGTTCAGAGCTGTCCGCTCCATGTTAAACATGTCATTAGCATCTTAATAATACCTTCCATTTATAGTCCCTTCATCCAAGTGCTTTTCAAATAATATGGGGCTAATTACACTGCTCCTTTGTATGAGTACACATATATGCCAGAAGAGATAAACAACCCATGTCATGCGGCACCTCTGCTGCGTGGATCTGCCATACCTAAAAAGGAGGATTTGCTCTCTGGGGATCCATCACTAACATGATGGGAGAAGGGCACCCTCCTCTCCTGGCCAGCCAAGAAAGGTAGCGGGAAACCTTTCTACACCCTTGCTGCAGATCTAATGCACCCTGCCCCTGGCGTGGGGAGGGAAGGGCAGCAGAAGCCACAGAACATAGAGGGAAGGGGAGGACGGCGATGGAAAATTCCATCTAGCACCATCTGCCTGCCTTTCTATCCTTCCCTGCCCATCCCTGGATGGCATATTGCCTTTAGATCAGTGAGTACAAACATAGGTTTGAAATCACCGGGACACAGAAAATCTGCTGTTTGAGACATAGGTTGAAATCCTGTGCGTGGTAACTACTGCCTAGCTGGGCAGGGCTTCCTCCGCTCCCCCGTTCTCACTCCTGTGCAAGGGTGAGCCAAACTCAGAGGGCAGAGCAGAGGCAGAAGCTGCTCATCCTGCTCACTAAGCCCAGCCAGAGCAAAGCAGCAACATCTATGTCTGAATTACTCAGAGGCAAAACAGAGACCCTTGCCTAATCCTTCCCCCAGTCAGTAGTAATTCTCAGACCTGGAAGCCAAATGCCACAGACCAGCACAGTCTCCTTCATGTCTCGAGTGGTTCCTCTGCGGACCTAAGAGCCATCATGTGCAGCACTTCAGAAGGGTGTTTTCATAGTGCAAAATAGAGTGTTTTACATGATGTGGACTGTAGTTTGAGGGCATTTAGGAGGAGCAAAGCCTGGTGGAAGGTCATTGAGGGACTGGGAAATGTGGAAGAAACCAAAACTGGTATAGTCTTGTTTATATGGGCTACTGGAGATGGTGCCTGGCCTGCACTATTTTTCAAATAGTGACTGTACATTGCGTAGGCAATTGCTAGCTGACACAGGACAAAACTGCCCCGGTGAGCATACGGAGCAGTTGAGTACTTAGGACTCTGCCGTATTCTTGCTTTACTGTTCAGTGCAGACCTTATCAGTGGGGCCCTGCTTCATCAATCAAAGCCATATGAGAAAGGCAGTTTGTCTGGGAGTCTGCTGGGGGGCAGGAGGGCAGGAGGATGGCAAGGGGAGGCAGGGTAGCACCTGGTGTACAGGGATCCTAGGGGAAGGCACTCCGGAGAGCGCAGGTGTTGAAAGTGATGGAGTACAAGGGAGTACCTGCTTTACAGCTGACAAGCCAGCTTTGGGGAGGAGGGCATACAATTGAAGGAGGCTAGAGACTACTCTGCTGTAGCTTGAGATAAGAAGATTGAGCTGTAGGAAGGAACTGACCCCAACTTCTTAACAACCTGTACTGCAACAGGTGTGAAAGAGCCCAAAAAGCAGGAATAAGAGGCAGGAAGAAACGTGTGCGTTGGGGAAGAAAGGTGGAAAGGATGACTACTTTCCACTAGAGTAAGGACCTACTACTAGAGGCGGAAACATGGTCTGCAAAATGCTGTGCTAATAAAGGGCAGAGCAAGAATAGCTGCTTTTTCTTAAAGAGTAACTCTGCTGAATACCCAGCCTGGGCCTGGAGATGGTTTTCCCCTTTTGAAGACATCTCTTATATAAAATTATTTCCTGCGTTTCTCAGTGGGATGAAATTACGGCCTTATAAAAATGTCATGGAAAACAATGAGGCCCTAGACGAAACAGCAGCTTTGTAGGTAGCAAGGGTTCGTGTAGAAGAGAGCCAGGTTAAAGTCAGGCCAGGAAGAGACACAACCCGGGCCGGACAGGCAGACAGCCAAACTCCTGCCTTAGTTCATTACAATGTCTTTATATCTTCATTGGTATTTTAAACTACTGGAAGTTTTCTTGCCAGTAGAAGCATTTTTCATCATTAAAGAGATTAACGACAACACCTCTTTATTTGCAGTATACTGAAAAAATTGTAGGCTAGTGGTCAGAACACAGCTGACCACTGTCACAGCTCCTAGCTCTATCACTAGGGTCTGCTGCATACTGTTCTTGTATCATTCAGAGCTCAATCTCTACATCTGCAGAACAGTGAAAATACACATCGATCACCTAGAAACTAATTAAATGCACCGAGATCTTCCATAAGATGGAAGGGCGCCCTCACAGAACTCAATTTAATGCTGTAGGGCCAAAATCCAGTCCTTTGTGCACAGGAAGAAGAAATCTTATCTCTTAAGACCTTTGGGATGCTAGATAGACATTGCTGCAGCCACATTACCAAAAAAAACCAAAAAACCCAGAAACACCACCAAAACAAAACAAAAACCCCACACCTTTTCCCAAAACAGCACTTGCAAAAAGACAACACAAAGCAAACGTGTTAACTAACTTCCAAACTATTCATTGTACTGTGCAGGGAGGCTTCCAAGCTTTGCACCTAGGGACAGTTTTAGTCTCTAATTTTGTGGCTGCGATGATGATAGCAGAACACCGTGAAAGCCGACGGCCTGTATTCCTGGAGATGATGTGTGGGTCCATGTCCAAGTGGTGTGATTTGCATTCTCAGTGGAGTAGGTGGGTAAAACTCACCTTGTACTGAGGACATACAAAAAGACTATGAACCACTTACATGCTCAAGCCTTGTCCTGGGCTTCAGCTCATATACAGGTTTTGCCAGATCCGTGTATTTAATACAGCAAAATTTCCCCACGAGTTAAAGATGCGAAAGTCAGGCTCAATATTGTAACTTGTGTAAAGAACTGTGCAAAAAAGTTTTTTTTTTCTGGTAGTTGGTAAGCCACAGTCCAATTTTTAGCTGTGTTTTTGGTTGAATGGAATAATCTAACAAGCATATGAAGCTAACAGAAGCATGTTTCACTGATGTGACACAGAGAAATGAGTTCTGGAGGGATTTGTTTTTCAATGAAATTCTAATCATAGTAAATGCAGAACTGAGAACTGCAGCACTATTTTAAAGCCTCCACTGCAGTTAACTAAAATTGATCTAACAAGTGCTAAAAATAGAAAGAAGAGAGCACACAATGGCTTTTAATGTTGCTCCCTGCAGGCTCCTTAAACAAGGGTGAATATGACCTTCACACAAAGCTGTCCTGGAGTGTGGAACAATGAGTGATATTTCACATTCCACTGCTCTAGAATAGGAATCGATTTATTACCAAGCTAGCTATGGGATTCATTTACATGCTTCCATTTATAACACTGCTGTATCAAAGGAAAAAGGAGAGTTTTTTTTTGTTTTCCTTTTGTTCAGCAGTTTAGAAGCAAAACATCAATTCTGAAAATAATAATCCATAATACAGTAAGAAGGTGTTGGACCTGACAGCCTTTGTCTGTGGACTTTCTGGCTGAAGGGGGGAAAAAAAAACCCACAGGTGTCTCGGAGGAAGTTCTCCTCATATATATTTTCCCCTCTGAGAGGTCCCACGTGCAAAGGACGTGACATGACCCTCCAAAACACGTGAATCATGAAACATCGTCCTGCACCCCATGTGCTTCATTCAGCTCTGGGTTACTCTGTTGACCAGTGCAGTTACACAAGAGCCCCAGTGATCAGATGTCTGGAATTGGAAGCTACTCTCAGCACAAGAAAGCAACGCGTTCAGTAGAGCTGGAGAGAAAACAATTTTCATATCCCACAGAAATTTTGAAAATGAACTCTTGAGAAATTTTCATGAGTTAAAAAAACCAAAGAAATGTTTTTAGATTGAATCTGAAGAGTTTTGTTTCAATAGAAAGATAATTTAGCATGCTATTCTTTCTTATAGTTTATGAATGTAAGTTAGACCTCAATTTCTAAATGATACTGCTTAGGCCTAAAACTGGAACCTTTTCTGTTTCTAAAATTTTAAAATGCTGTAACAACTTTCAAAGAAAATTCTATTTTAAAAGATAAATTAATTAAATCAAAACTAATCCTTTCCTATGAAAAGCTTCGTTTCACCAGATCAGCATTTTCTAAGAGAAACCATTGTTCAGAAAATCCCAGCTAGCTTCAATTGCTAACACTAGCTGAAGATGGGCAGTCAGAAGAAAGTCTAACTGCATTGTCCATTGACATTTGTGTTATTTTGACATAGGCTATAACTAATCCCATTCCTTCTGCATACTATTTTGAACAGAGAATGGGCAGTCCCAACAATGACAGAGCAATCCTGTCGCGACTGGGGAGTAGTAGCCCTCTCTCAATTAACTTGTTCATGTGAGAGATTCTCCACTCAGACGGAGATCTGCTTTGGAATACAGCAGATCTGATCTAAAGGAAAACTCTTCAAGTTCATGGACAAGTAAATGTCCTGTCCCTGCATAAATCCATCAGTTGTCCCGTCTAAATATAAGAACAAGCACAAAAAAGCATGTAAATGCATTTTGTGTATAAACACACAAAAAAGTGTGAAAAAGCTTGGTCTGCTGTTCAATCAAAGGGCACTTACAGGCTGCACTTTAGGCTAACCCTTGTAGGGCAAGAACGCTCTGTTGTGTGTAATGCAGAGCACCCTACCTGCAGTTAAATATGTACATGCATAAAGTAAAATTCATTCTTAAGCAAAGAACCAGTTGTTATGCATCAACTTAAACCCAAAGGTTTAATGCAACTTAGCAACGTACAGGCTTTACACTAACTTCCTCTGCAGTTATTCCTCTACATTGCTATTTCTCATCTGCTTTTTATGACACATTTTCACACAAGGACCATAAGCTTACCTGGTCCTAGCTTAGAAACTGCATAAAGTAGGTCGTAGTTGATGACAGGTGTTGCATCATCTATTGGTTGCCACCCTACAGGTGGGGAGGCTGGAGGCGAGATGAGAAACTGTTTTGCAGGCTGTGGTGGAGCTAAATGAAGCTTGTCTCCATCTGTCTCAGAGGTCTGAATCTTTAAAGCAGAACAAATACATTGTTTAGTTTAGTAACAATGGGTAAAGGAATGACTACTCAAATCACACACTTCTAATAGCAAATGACACCTAGGCAGGGTTTCAACGTCAGTCTCAGCAGACAAGGCCTGGAGATGCATTTCATCCCAACCTTACAGATGGCTCCACAGTAAATATACTGTGGGGGGCTGTTATAGCAAAGCTACAATGTTTGTGCTATTGGATATGTCCTCTGAGGATAAGAGCAAACCTTAGTCTCCACAGCTGCCAGTTCAGAGATCTGTGAGGCTAAAAAGGTGCTCTTGTCATATACTGGTCTAAACTCTTAAATAACAGCAGACATTAGACTAGAAACCAGTAACTCCTGCCACAAGGCCATATCAGTAACTTCAGAAAAGTTCTGAAGATCTGGTTTATTGAGTTAAAATGATAAAGTAATCTATCATGATCCTTAGTCGGTTGTCTCAGTAACTAATTTTTCCTCATTTTATTTGTATCTTAAATTATCTAGTTTAATTCTTGCTTTTGCCTGGTATATTAAAGAAGCCTCAATACAGATGAATTATGCCACAACTGCAGTCACACCTGAGCAAGTTTACGGCCAGCTCAGGCCCAGAAGCAATAAATTGCATCTGCATGACAGCAAGCCTGAGATAAAAAGCCCTGCTATACCTGAATGGTCTCTGTAGAAAGCCAGGTTAGGGCTCCCCACACCGTGTTCCCCAGAACTTCTAGTTCTGGATGTTCTTATTCATTCTGCCTTAGGTCCATGTAAACACAGACCTCCCCAGACATTGGGCTGTTATCCTTGTGTTCGTTCCCTGGACACAGCTAGTAAACTCTTTTAAGACTGCATGTCCTGGAGAGCATAGTGCAGACACTTAAAGTGGCTTTGTAGGAAATCAGCTTACATATGCAGACTAATCACTGTTATCCATTTTTTTCCATTTCCTGGTTTATTCCAAGTTTCCTCTTAACCTCTTGATAGCGTAGAGTGAAATGATCATCGTATCTGCTTCAGCTGAAGTTTGAAACCTTTCAGAAAACTGAGAGAGCCAGATCTAGGAGATTAAGGCATTTAGGATGGGACTGAGACGGACTTTCAACACCTAAATCCAATAGTAAGAGCTTCTGAACTCATGTAACCCACTATGCACCTTGGGTTTTTCACAGTCATAGTTCCCCATCTTCCTGAGCTTCTGCTTCTACACGTGCTCAAAACAACTGCTATCTTGACAGGGCTGTAGAGGCTCGAAACTTAACTGCCTCTTAAGTTTGATTAAGATCTTCAAATGAGGCTTTCCTTAACTTCAAATCTCTGAAGGACTGGTCTGGCAGCCCAAAGCACACCTCTGTTGCTTACTGGCACTACCGAGCATCCCAAAAGCCGCTGTGGTCACAGCCATTTAATAAAAAATGTTTAAAAGAGATAGTGGTCAGGGTTCTCAATCTCCCTCACCTTTCTGTACCCTGGCTGTGACTGCCAGGGCCACATGAACTCACCCAGGCACAGGTCTGCGTTAGGTATCTGCACTCACCCAAGCTGTGGGTGATCTGAGCTGTCTCCTTCCCTCGTCCAAGAAGAATTTAAACCTCATCTACTTCTAACAGATGGTTACAGTCCCTTGCGCATCTTCTGGGCTGGAGGCATCCTCCTCCCCTAGCATTTCCCCCTCAACTGAACTTACTGAATTCCTCTTAAAAAATGTACTTAGTAAGACAAAAAAAGGCAGGAGGAAACCTGGCTCTGTCTCAGAGTTGCAGATAAAGATAAAAGCAATTCAGCCCTACTTCTTTTAGGAACTTAGGATACTTCACATTTCCGCTTTTTTTTTTTTTTTTATAGTCAGCTTAGAGTTTCCCATGCAAAATACCAAATGCTGTAAATCTGTTCTAAGCTTTGTAACTTGTGTGTTGTATAAGCAACTCGGGTCCTAAGTGGTCCCTCAAGTTTATTGCAGGCCTACTGGGAAGGTATGGCTCAGACAACATAAGGCTCAACTAATCCTTTAGCAGAGAGACTGGGCACGGGAGAAACTTTTGTTATTTTTATTCAGCTTTACTGGGCGATATTTCATTAGAAGCTATATGCTACCATGTAAGCGGATAACAGATTTCATTACCTGTGCAAAATACAGCTTTAACTTCTTCCCTCTAAACTGTGTTTCATGCAGCTCTATTCTGGCACGAGCAGCTGATTTGGGACTACTAAAATTTATCCGCACACGTCTGAAGCTTTTAAACAGCTGGAATGTCACACAGTCATCATAAGCACGGAACAAGCCTTCAAATTTTTCCTGCAAATGAAAAAGAAATAATGCTGGAGGTTAACTTTGTGTTCTGCCCCATTAGATCTGTGTTCAAACATGACCTGAAGCTTGACGACAGTTGTTTAACCAGTACTTTTCAGTTTTTATGGTCCTTGGGGAGTGGATGACCATAGACTAATAAGGGCTCTGTGAAAAGAAACTAAGCAGCACTGGTCAGAAAGTGCTGACCTCTGGAAAATGTTTGGGGGAAGAAATCTTCAAACTGAAAAGGCATCAGCTTCTCATAAAAGTTCAGCAAAATTGTGATAGTGACTTATGAAGTGAAAATGAAAAAGGCACATGACTGAAAACACCAAACCACCATGGTCTCATCTGCATGTAAGCATACATTGCACTGAATCACAGTAGAGGAAGCAGACAAAGTCTGGCCCACTGCAACTCAGGGTTGTATTCACAAAAGGGGGTGGTGAACAGCAAGGGTTATTTCGTGCCACAGGTAAGCTTTTCTGGACATTTTGTCATTTAAATGCTCGGAGCAGATATATATTGATTTCTTGAGAGTGACCGTAGCAGAAGGAAGAAAAAATAACCCCAGATAACTGAAAACAGTGACCTGTTCCAAGGAGAACTTTCAGGCTTAAAACTTTTTAGCTATAGACCTCCATGTTCAAAAGGACATGACATAAATAAGGTTATTTTAACATCGTAAAAGAAAAGTCTAAAATATACCGGATCTACTGAAATGAATAGAAATTCAAGGTACATTAGCACCCTGGAGGACCAGACTCTCTAATTTCTCTATAACCTGTGTACACACAGAGAATTAGTTCCACACCATCAAATGAAAACAAAGTTTTTACACCAACTCTGACACACGTGCATAGGCCTTCTCATTCACATTGGTGCAGATTCCTAAAACTTGAAGGCCAAAAGTGACCAGGTCCCTTTTAGTCAAACCTTTTGTGTTCACTCAGGCTTTAGAATTGCACCCACTGAGTCTCACCTACAGTCCTCTTGTTTTAACTACCGTAACCATGATTTGAAGTCTTAGAATATGGAAAATCAGTTGGAGTAAAGCACCTTCCTTTTTTAGTTATTTCTGAAAAAAAAAACAGTATTTAAAATGATTGGCCACATCATTTCATACATTGAAGGCTCTTACGTCAGGTTGAGAAGTTAGTATAATTACCATAATATGATGTTTGCTTTAATACATCTGCAAGTAGAACTTTCTTACACATTTTAAAATGTAACCTCTTTAGCTCTCATGGAGGAAAACAATTTCTTATCCCTTAGAGTGCATAACTGGTAGAGGCTGCAGAAGATGAAATAGAAAGTTCTATTTATGTAATCTAATCAATACTTCAGTTCTCATCTGTTGATCTTACAAGCTGGCTGAGGAATGCAGTACCTCTTAGAAAAATTTACCCAGAAGAACAGTGAAGAGGCATCAAGGAGCACTAACAAGCACTGCAGGAGTCACTGTCAGCATTATACGCTTGTTAAAGAGTTAACTAGAAAAATAAACCAGTAGCATGGCAAGGAGTATGAAACACTAATGTGCACGTACCAACCAGATCTCCTTCACTGCCAACTCTGCAGTCTTCTTTCCCATAACTAATACTCCATCTCTGGCACCCTCACAAAAGAACTTCCCTGTGGTCTACTAAGCATTTCATTTTGCCAGACCTCACTCACCTCCTCCTCTTACCACTCTTACCACAGGAAATAGGTTAGAGGGGGGGAAAAAAAAAAAAAAGCGCTCAGTGTTTATTTGAGGGTGAATAAAGGCATACAGTAATCCCACAACCAGCATGAAGTTGAAAGGTTTGTACAAGCAGGTCTAGTCACACCATCTAACATTCAGATTGTCAAAATTTCACACCTAAGATCTGTTTTAAACTGTTTACAGTTTTGCAAAGTTTTATGTCCTGAGCAGGAGTCTACCTCAACTGGCGTTTGTATAAAGGTCAGCCAAAAGTAGCAGTTGGTTTCAATCCTGTCCAGCTTGGGGTTTTGATCCTACAACCTTCACAATGAGCAGAGGGAGAGGGTACGGGGATGGAAGAGAAAGGGACGGGTGACCAGCACATGTGTAAAATCAGACTTACGCACCACTCAAAAATATGTAGCACTGTTTATAATCTAAGGAGCAGATAATATTGACCAGCTAATTAAAGCTTACATCTGAATCTATATTAACTATTTCAGACTTCTTCAGCAGTTTTTAAAAAGCATGTTAAAATAAACAAGCTTATTTATATATGAGACTATTAATGCATTTTAACAAAAGTCACACATTGGCTAAAAATAAGCAGCAAGGCAAACATTTCATAGCTCATTGTAGTATCTCTTTCAGTCTCCCCGCAAGTCAGCAGTGAAATAATTTATCATATAAAAAATATTTGATCAGCCATGCAACAAACTATGCATGGACATGTGGAAGTAAGTATCTGTTCCGGCTAATTATTAGGGAACGACTTCTCTCTATATCAACACAGCAGTACTTACTTTCGTTGGCCTGTCTTAAGTGTCTGCCTTCTTTTCGTACAGCAAGTAACAACATGGCATCTAGATCTTGGTTAGGGCCACCGCGGGGTGCCACAATGCAAAACCAGGGAGGATGTAATTTTAAAAGAGGGTCCAAGAACAGTGAAAATAAAGAGTGTTCAGGGCACATTTCTGAACAATACTGAGATGTACTCTCATTAGGCACTGAAAAGACAGATGGGAGTATCTCTAAATAAAGCTGATTAAGTAGTGGAGGCCAAATGTAATACTAGGAGATCATTAAAGCACTAGGAGCTTTATTTTCTGCTTACTTTCCAATTTGATACCAGCACGGCTTTAGAGATCCAGGCTTTGATTAACACTCCTAAAAATGTCAGGAAAAAAAAAAACTTGGAGCCCTCCATTTGATATTAATACGGGGCATTCTGTCCACATCTCACACACATCTACTGTACCAACTGAAACTGCGTTTCCCATTTAAAAAATTCATACCTCTGAGTTCTTCTCCATTTTCAGCTGATAACAATAACGACCTTAGCAGACATCATTAATCATCAGCCACAGTTAACGGCCCTCAGCATCTGGAGCCGTCACAACTCCTCCCAGTTTGATATTAATTCCTAGGAAATGCCTTATGTCTTAATTGTGTTGCCTCTGATATCTGCTGAATGTACTTATCTGAGCTTTTAGAGCCATTCTGATCTCTAAGAAAATACATCATGTACGTTTTCAAGAGCTCTGCAAATTCTCTGTCAAGTTTTGTGGATAAATAATTCAATATTCATAATCACCTCAATTCAGAATTTATTTTTAAATGTTTTTAAAGAATAAGTTTTTAAGCTTTCGGAATATTTTGAGACCCAAAGGAAAAAAATGAAGGAACTTTCTAAATTAAGCAGCACTATTGCTAACCTTCAAATAAAATTTGACTCAAAATGCAGAAAATTATGATTTACATATTCATTTCTTAGATTTTCCATGTCTTTATCCATCCTAAATATGAGCCTGTGAGATCCAATTCAAGTTGCTAACTGATAAATTTGAGTGGCGTTGTTTTGACCCGTACTGCAAGAATTCTCACTCCTTCCTCTTGGGCTCTGTCCCCTCTTCATCATGCTATTTCTTTGCCTTACACCAAGCACCTTTCTCCAACACCAATACCAGCTCTTCCCCAAGGATCTTTGCTGTCACCTCACGCCAGCTCCCTATCTTAGCATGCACCACCTCTAGCAGTTTCTTCTTTTTATTTTATTAGCAAACTTAGCACAATGCGGGAACATGCTAATTAAGGCTGCTGATTACTCAAGTTTGATCGCTATCATTTCTGACAACTAACACGGAGGACGAATAGAGTCCCGTCCAAAGAAGAACTGAGCACTGGACTAACAGACCCACGTTAAAAGTTTCATAGTACAAAGGGCAACGCTATACGCTTACGGACTAAAATATTTCTGCTACTAAACAGGAGCTCACCTGGGGAACCAAGATAAAGAGTGTCACTAAGTCACAGGATAAAAGCGATCAGTGAAACGCTGCCACAAAAAGGCAAACATAATATTGGATGTTATCTGGAAAGGTATTTCCAGTAAAGCAAGGAACATATTAATGCTACATAAAGCACTGTTATACCTCATTAAAACACAGTTTTGGTGCCTGCATCCCAGCAAGAATAAGCCAAATGGGAATAGGTTCAAAGAAAGGCTACTAACATAAAAGGAGTGAACAACTTCCTGAAGGAGAAGAAATTAAAATTCTTAGCTTATTTAGCAAAGCAAAGACTGAGAGGAGATATGAGTGTCATCACTAGTTTAGAACAGGATAGAGAGCAAAGAAAAAGCTGTTTTAACTCGAAGACTATGTTGGCATAAAACAAATGGAAACAAGCGGGCATGAATAGGCTTAGGCTGGAAGTTAGAAAAAGGTTTCAAACATCAGAGTAATGACTCAGAAACAACCTTGCAATTACAGCAGCAGTGGCAAACGATGTTTTTAAGATGGAATTTGGTTAGTTCCATGTAAGTAACTACGACAAAAGTATTGCCACAACAAGCACCGTAAAACATGACTGCCCGAATTAGCAAGCAAATTGAGTTCTGACAGAGCAAGTTCCTTCCAGTTCTATGTTACCATGAATTATTTCCAAACATTTATTTCATGAATAGCTCCATTGGTATTGTGTTCATTCAGGACAAAAGCCAAGGTCTAATTCAAAGCAGTGGAAGTCTTTCCACAGATATCAGTGAGCTTTTGATTAGAGCCCTAGAACTCAAAACACAAATTATATTTTATTACTCACTATGTTTACTCTCATTATCACCCTTGTTCCACGTTTGATTTAGGAGATGGCTGTGACTTAAAACTTTAGTCTAATCCTTTTTCCTAGATTTTGTGTAAGAAAATAAAATATTTTTTCCACTTCAATGTTTCCTGTTCTTGTATGTAAAGAAAAAAAAATGCAAATAACTAATTGCATACAATAAGAAAGTCAAGACATAATTTACAATTATGAAATACGT